AAAATGACTTATTAGTGAAAGTTATTAAAACTGTTACCAAGGAAACTCGGTGTTTGATGTTAAGTCAAGCAGAACAAGCCTTTCCCTAATTTGCCAAAAGCAAACATCATCAGAAATCATATTCTATTCTGAACACATAAAATTTGCCTGAATGTTGTTTGCTATATCATTACAGGCACTCTGCCATTAACTAATGTCCACAAACTGCTGAAACAAACTGGATGCATAAGGCCGAAGCTGCATAAATATCACTAATATTAGGCACAATGTTTGATGAACATTATTATCATGAGCAAAATGTGATTGAAAGCATCTGTAGGCCTTCAGGCAGTATCAATTCAGAGTCACGTCGCCCTTCTGTTGGGTTTGTAGCTAGTAAAGAGCTGCATCTACATATCAAAGCATCTGCTGAAGGGATGTTGAGGACATGAACCCCTCAAGAGAAAAAATAAAATAAATAAATACATAAATACATAGTGTGATGAGGGTCAAACAAAGGCCTAGGACAGAGACAGACACACTACAATCAAACTGCAATCAAAAACATAGAGACAATGTAGGCAATTGTTTCTGAAAGCCAGAACGAACTCAAAAACAGATCATACAGTACAAGAGATGTTCAGCAGCACGTCCCACACATGCTTGGATATTCTTTTATACTTCTTTTGTGTTTCACAGAAGAAAGTCAGTCAAAAGGACATGAATGTGTGCAAATGATTACAGATTTTTCAATTGTTTCATCCATAATCTCCATAGTGCATCTCTTGTAGTGTGTGGCAGTTTTCGCATTTTTGCCCAAACCTACCCAGTGTGCAAACCAACATGAGCATGATTTTAATTCAGGGTTTTTCATTTTGTGATTTCCAAGGTCTCCTATACTATACTGTTTACTTTATTGTATGTTAAATGTTTAATAATAAGTTTAAAAAATTGCCACCTTTGTATTAAATAAGTGCAATTTATGTACATATATATCTGTATAAAAATTATATGTCTATGTATATCAGTAAGTCATGGCAATATATATATATATATATATATATATATAGATATACAATATTTTAGATATATTTTATTTTTAATTAATTAATTTACCTACTTATTTTGAGATATTGTTTTAAACTTAAGTTTTAGGTTTAAACTTAAGTAGGTGGAAACTTTTAATGCATTAGTTAACATAAAATAAATATGAATAATAGACGTTTACATCATTCACTAACATGTATTATTTATTAGCATTTATTATACATTTAATACACAGCCAGTTAGATTATACTTAAAATTTAAGGCAGCAACTGAACTTAAGTTTTTAAGTAGGTAGATTTTTTTTAAAGTCTCATTTGTTAACATTGGTTAACACACTGGTTAACATGACTAAGTACTAGGGCTGTCACGATCCCTCGATCCCTTCGAGTACTCGATTTAAAAAAAAATCTTCGATTGCATTTTGCCTGTGTTGAGTAATCGCCAAAATACCGGAAGTGGCACATTCCACGGACTAGAATTCATAAAACACATTATTAGACCGTCTTCCAAGGCTGCATGATACATTAAACCCATTTTAAAATCATAATAAAGCATAATGCTTTTGTGAATTCACAAACACTATGATTCAATTAAATAAATATATGCGATGCAGGTTTAATATATGAGCTTTAATTATTTACATGCATGTAGGCTATGTATGTGCATCTCAGAGCGGCTTTGCTCACAGTAAATGCTGCTCCACACAAACTGTTATCATTTACATGTGTAGATCGTCTCAAACTCCATCTCTGCATATTGTTGTGAGTTTGGGTTTATTATAACATTCATCGGGGGAACGCAAAGGGAAATTCCTCAATAAACTCCTAATTTGCTGCTTATTATTAATAGTTAGTAAGGCAGTTGGTATTGAGTTGATTAAGGGATCTAAAATGTGCACATGCAGAATAAGGCATTACTATGTGCTTTATAAATACTAATGAACAACCAATATGCTAGTAATATGCATGCTAATAAGAAACTAGTCAATAGTGAGAATTGGTCCTTAAAATAAAGTGTAACCGCATTTCACAACTATAAATATAAATCCAAAGAAGATTCACAGAGAATACTGCTCAGCTCAAACATTCTTTTGTTGCCTTCAAAAAGCCATAACACTACAGATAATAAAGGAAGACCACAGCAAATCATGACAGAGCCCTTCTGAAAAATGTAATCCACGGCTGTCCTTCAGCCTGCAGAGAAAATTGTGTTCTTTCTGAAAATAAGTGCATTATTTTCCACTTTCTTTGAGCTTTACCAAACCATTCAGTGCATAAAAGCACAAGACACAGAACATGTTTAAATGCATTGTGAAGGTTTAGACCAGGGGTCTCCAAACTCGGTCCTGGAGGGCCGGTGTCCTGCAGAGTTTAGCTCAAACCCTAATCAAACACTCCTGAACCAGCTAATCAAGGTCTTACTAGGCATGCTAGAAACTTCCAGGCAGGTGTGTTGAGGCAAGTTGGAGCTAAACTCTGCAGGACACCGGCCCTCCAGGACTGAGTTTGGAGACCCCTGATTTATGGTTTTAGTAACTTTCAGATCAGTAAAATAAGTTCCATCCTCCCTGGCTAACAATGTCTTACATCAGAAACAGCAGGAACTAGAAATTACAATCAGATCAATTCCAATTGATATCTACAATATTCACACATTTGATTGATTGATTCATTCATTCATTCATTCAAAAAAGAATGAAAATTGGTGATGATAATCTGACATTCCAGTTATTGAATATATTTTAATAAAACAGATGCTATGATTTTAAAGCTTTTATAATAATTCTATTATGGTCAGTAAGTGATTACGGGTATGTGTGCAGTTATGTTTGTTTTTGTGGAAGAACCTGTCAAAGATATTTTCTATCAAATTAGCCCCTCCACTTGATCCAGAAGAAATTAAAGGTTTGTCAATAGTATAAGAGCCTTAGTTGAGTATATTACCATAAACTGTTGAAAAATAAAGTAAACATATAAAATTTGACATTGAGTAAACTATACTATAAAAAATTACATTCTATAATGTCATACAATGGAAGCCTGATTCTGCCATGGAATAAAAAATAAAATAATATAAAAAAAAACAAACATTTTATCTCTTTTTCTTCCCCTCAAAAAACCACAGAATTGTGAGATATAAACTCACAGTTACTACTTTATTTCTTGAAAGAGTTTACATCTGGCAATTCTAAGTTTTCTTCTCAGAACTGCAAATTTATATCTCACAATTGCAAGTTAACGTTTTTTTTTTTTTTTCTCAGAACTGCAAGAAAAAAATCTGAATTGTGAGATAAGAACTCACAATTATGAGAAATCAGTCAGAATTGAAAAGTGAGAAAAGTGGCTTTTTTATCTATCCCATGACAGAAACAAGCTTGCATACAATACATTCATAAGAACCTCTAGACAAAAGTAGATGATCAGAAGTGCACAATAATATGATTGTCAGTATAAGGCCAGCAAAGATGTCTTTCCTCAGGAAGCATTTGTCTTTATTTTCAGACAGTGAATGGTTTTGCGGGGTTTGTCAGTGGTGGTGTAGTGCTGGGATTGCTGCTAACACAGAACACTGATGACTTAATAAAGATGGAGTGTTTTACGTTCATCAGAAGAACTGCTACGCCACAACACACCATCTAACGTGAGTGAGTTTGACAGCTGCAAATAGACACGGAAGCAGCCGTGTAGGCTGTCAATTAATTTGATTTCTCTTTAAACGTGAGCCTTTCTGAGAAATGTGTTTGCTGAACAAAATTACTCTCACTTTAGACCAAAAATAAAGTACACAAATCATAACTGATGTATCTTGGAATCATCACAGCATACTGCTATAGTGCAAAAGCGTTACTGCCTGCTTTTTGAGTGCCATTTAGAAGTATTTGTCCATTCATTTTCTCCATAGGGATTCCAAAAATTTCTTCAATAAAGACACCAAAGCACCAAACCAACAATCACATCCTTACAAACTTTGATATATAAAGCAAATAAATGTTTCAAGGTAATAAAATAAATAAAAACAGATCAAGTGGCTCTTCTGAGGACATGAACATTGTGACTGATATAATGAAATCAGATGTTAGGGTACAATATAAAACTTAATATGTAAGTGTTTATGCTCTAATAATTTTAATACAGAAATAATTTGAGTAAATTTATTGGCTCAAAGTAATTAAGTAATCGCTGGTGGTGACCATTGTGGTAATGAATGGAGAAAGTTGCTGGTAAGTTTTTTAATATGCAAAACAAAATGTGACTTGAAAAGAGTTCACCGATGGATACATGTTTGACGTCAAGTGCACACTTACAGGTAACAACACACAAGAAACTGAGCTCTCTGTATTTTTAACTCGAAAGGTTCCTATGTTCACAATCTTATTTCAATAAATGTACTTTTGTCATGACAACTCTCGGAGGGATTGGCATGGTAATGTACATGACAATGTTAATGTATTTGGTCTTGGCGGAATAGATCTGCTATGCTGCTGCTGCTGCGGCAGAGCAAGTACCGAGACTTGCTACTGCCAATACATCCACAACATGCTGCTGTGAGCATGTGAGAAATATTTCTCCTGCAAATATAACATACATGAAATAACCCCATATAGCATACATGAATCACCTCACAGCAGATCTATACAGGTGGAGCTGGGGAAGGTGGAGGGTTTCTGAAGCAAGCTGCAACTGCTACAGCAAGCACTAGTCATACATTTGAATGTTGAGCAGTGAGCTCATTGGTTACCGATACAGGCGAGAACCAATCAGCTGTGTCATGTGATAATGATGTCATTAGGTCAGATTGAGTTAGACCTATCGGACAGCGCCATCTAGACTTTCATGTCAAAACTCTATATTTCTAGAGCCTGGCTTTTGCACTCAAAATACAACCCTCAAGAATCTGTAGAATAAAACTGCACATATGTTAAGGACTAAATTGCCAAACACCCCAGACTTAAAGCTTACTGCACAAAAACTCACCTGAAGGTCATCTGAAAAACTTGTCCCAGGATCACCTGTTGAGTTTTGTTATTGTACCCACGGAGCATCTCACTGAAGAGTGTGTTGTTGAAGCGCGAGTATTGTTTCAGGCACTTTGGCCCTTCACAGTGATCAGCCAGGAGAAGACAGGAGCGGCCGTCATTGGCTAGCTTGTATTCCTGCACACACCTGATCATCACACACACAGTGACAATGTTGAGATTTCATTCAGATAATAAAATGGTAGTTAACTGAATGTATGTTAAAGGGATCGTTATCAAATAAATGGATGAGCTGTATGTTAATAGCACACACACTCATATCAGCTGAATTCTGTAATGTACTGGGATGCAGACTTTTAAAAAATTGTGAGAGATATTGCCTGTTTTAAGATGGATATACTGTACATATACATGACATGTATGTCCAAAAATGTATTACACATACATGTTTGTTTGTGCTAGATGAATATATTATATAGAAAACTGTTTCTAATAGCTTTCATATATGTTTTTACTTTATATGACATCTATTTCATATATGGATATTTAATGTATGTGCATATATTACAATGTCACCAATCTCTGGATGGAAGTACAGTGGATAAAGAAAAGAATCACCCCCTTTAAAATAGTCACATTTTGTTGCTTTGCAGCCTGAAATGAAGACGGACACAGTTTTTGTTTTATCCAGCTGTATTTACTCAGTGCAACTTACAACATCCAAGTGAAAGATATAACATCAACATGTCAGAGAGAGAGAGAGAGAGAGAGAAAAACAGATTCACTGAGTTGGAAAAAGGATCACCACCTTATAAATATGGCTTGGAAACTCAATCAGGTGTAGCTGATCACCTTCTCAATGGCACACAAAGCCATCTGACTTTCAACTTTGATCAGCTGTGGTCATTTCGATTAGCTCTGCATTTCCTGGAGCATTTCAGTCCTTGGTAGTGCAGCTGAAGCAAACAATCAACTATGGGTGGCAAGGCACTGTCAAAAGATATCTGGGATAAAGTTGTGGACAGGCACAAGTCAGGAGATTGATACAAAAACATTTCAAAGGCTTTATAAATGCCTAGAAGCACAGTTAAGCCTATTATTAAGAAGTGGAAGGTATTTGGTAGAACACAGACCCTCCCTGGATCAGAACGTCGCTCCAAACTGGATGAAAGAGCGAGGATGAAACTGATCAGAGAGGCCGACAGCAACTCTGAAGCAGCTGCAGGAATTTATGACAAAGAGTGGTCATTGTGTGCATGTGACAACGATATCACAAATTCTCCACAAATGTGGCTTGTATGGGAGGGTTGCAAGAAAAATAATAATAATATTAATGTTTAATATTAATATTTCCCAAGCTCAAGGACGCTGTACAAAAGCAGTAACACAATAGACAGTCGATTCAAATAATTATAAACAGTCATTTCACAATCAATTAATCAAATTAAGTGGACAGTAGACATTTGCCCAGTCCGGGGATAGACATGATTGCAGTTGCATATCATGGTACAATTATGTACTGGAAACAGAGATACATGAATTATTTGGCCTCAACACCAAACGATATGTCTGGCAGAAATCCACTACAGCTCACCATCCAAATATCATCATTCCTCCAGTAAAGCATGGAGGTGGTAATATCCTGTTCTGGGGTGTTTCTCTGCAGCAGGGACTGGAGCACTTGTCAGGATAGAAGGAAAAGTGGATGGGGCAAAATATCGTCAGATTCTTGAGGAAAATCTGCTGCCCTCTGTCAGAAAGTTGTCAATGGGAAGAAGGTTTACCTTCCAACATGACAATGACTCAAAGCACACAGAAAAACTGACACACAGTGGTTGAAGGAGAAAAAGGTGAATGTCTTTGCATGGCCTAGTCAGAGCCCAGACTCAAACCCCACTGAAAATCTGTGGAATGACTTGAAGACTGCAGTCCACAAACGCTCACCATCAAATTGAACTGAACTTGAGCAGTTCTGCAAAGAGGAGTGGGCAAATATTGCAAAGTCTAGATGTGCAAAATTAGTAGAGACAAATCCCAACAGACTACAGGCTGTAATTAAAGCAAAAGGTGCTTCAACAAAATATTGACACAAGGGGTGATCCTTTTTTCAACTCAGTGATTCTGTTTTTGTATTTTTTTCTGACATGTTGGTGTTATATCTTTCACTTGGATGTTATAAGTTGAAAAACTGTGTCCGTCTTCATTTCAGGCTTAATTTCAACAAAATGTGGTTATTTTAAAGGGGGTGATTCTTGTCTATATCCACTGTGCTCTTTATGTGCTTGGGTTCATATTCATGCACGTGTGTTTTCTCTCACCCGCAGAACATGAGCACATTGCTGTACGTCGGGTCATCAGGAAGAGGAACCAGCTGCTGAAGACACAGCTGCTCACAGCCTCCATTGAAGCCGTCCGTACAGTCCGTTCCCAGAGAGTAGTCATAGCAGCCCGAACCGTCCTTCATGGGCCTCAGTCCTTCCGGGCACTGTGAATGATTTGGGAAGAGAGAGATGGACACGGAGATCAACATCTGCATGCTGGTCTGGACTTTCTGTTACCAGGTAACAATAAAAACTCTTGAGACCATATGTACTGTATTCTCAGTGGGGAGTTATTATGTGATGAACAAAGCAGTTTCTCAGGAAGGAAAGGGTCTTAATGAGGGTTGCCAAGGCAGCACCACAGAATTCAGGAAAAGATCCAGAGCCTCAATAGGACACCCATTATCCAGACATGTCAAACTGACCAGCCCACATATTCAGAGACAAGAGGAAGTCCAATTGGATTGTTGTGTTTTCTTGCTTGTGCAAAAGTAGAGCATAGCGTTATCGTGTGGTTGCTAGAGTATTTTGTGTTGTAACTTACGTGCCCAAGTCAAAAGTCTCATTGATGTGGCTCGGGTCTCTCCTTTAATGTAAGTCTGAGGGATTTTTGTTCTCTGTATCATTGGGCAGGTTGAAAATTTTAAGTCTGATGCTTGAATGCTCCTCAACAAGCACATCTTAAGGTGTAATGCATGATGCATAAATAGTGTGAGATGACTTGTATGCCAAAGCTGAATGTCTGGGTTGTTTTCATTAGCCCCAGTTTGAGCAAAAGTAGCTTGATTTTTAAAGACCCCTATGTACGCACGGTGAAGTTCTTTTTTAAATTCTTTACTTAGGGGTAAAACGAAGTTTGAAATACCCTTGCAGCTATGTACTGTTAGCAAACATCCCGACCCCTGGGTAACAGGTGCATTACACTCTCATAGTGATGTCCGGTTCGCGAACGAATCGTTCTTTTTAGTGAACCGGTCGAACCATTTCACCAAATCGGACTGAATCGTTCAAAACAGTTCGCATCTCGAGTCAGCACTGATCCACAATTTTCTAAAGTTTCTCACTTTCAGACATGCCTGACAAGTCCCTACGACTTGCAATAAACCAATATCCTGGAGTTTATGTTACTCCTGTAACTCCAACAGCACTGAAACATGCTGTGCAGACTGAGTGAACCGATGAGCATGAGCAGCTGATATACTGAGCATGCGTGTACTACCGAACAAACGGTACTGCTACAGCGGTTCACGAGTCAACAGTTCTCGAATCACCAGTACACTGAACCGAGAACCATTTCTTTTGGGCATGTTCGACATTTCGGAAAAATTTCGACATACTGAGATTCGTTTCTTTCGGACACGTTCGACATACTGAGAACCGATGAGCTGGAGATGCTGAGCATGCTTGAAGTTAAAACTGATGCTGTGCTGATATTAATATACTATGAGCGGGAGTGAACCGAGGACTTGAATGAGGGGGTGAATTTGAAGAAATTAAGTTTATTTAATAACAGATCAAACTTACTGGAAAATGCAAATGCAACTATATTAAACAACAAACATGATGAATATGCAACAACTGTTCAGTCAAAACATGTAAATTAATTTTACTATTTACTATTGTGTGCACGTTATATTTTAAGCTTTATGAGCTGGATTTCTGTATGAAAAAACTGGTTCGAGGAAAAGAACCGTACTTCCCATCACTACACTCTCAGGAAAAAACAAAAAACAAAAACCTTATTGCACAAAGCTGTGACTTAGGTGGTACCTATTTCAAAAGGTACAAATACATATGTACCATTAAGGTACTAATATGTACACTTAAGGTACTTCTATGCAGCATTTAAGGGTGTCTACCTTTTGAAAGGATACTGCCCCAGTGACAGCTTTTGTACTTTTCTCTTTTTTTTTTCTGAGAGTGTATAGCTACAATTAGCGTAAAGCTAACCATTACAGTTTATGAGATTAATACTAAGCTTTTACTAAAATATCACCGTAATCCACCACCATTTAAAATTAATTTCTGATTTCAATGTAATGTGGATTTCAATCACATAGTGAAGCAGAATTATGTTATCTGTAGCATTTTAGAATAAGCTACTCGCTACATCTTCTTAACACTTCTCATGTAAACATCCTTTATTCTTATAAAAATCATCCAAAACACATGACAATCACATACAAGTCACCTGCTGTCGCAATCGTTTGTTTATTACCTTCATGTTTCACGTGTAGAAATGTTTCTCTGGGTTTGTGTACAGAACTGAACGCAGAAGTGTGGTGTAAGTTCGTCATCAAAGAGACAGGACGGGTTATGAACGTATAGTATTATGAGTGACATATGAGCAGCGAATCAGTCAGAACAGCAATTGGAAGAGAAAACAGACTAATGCTGCATTACAGACAACTCGAAATTCAGATTTTTTCAATAAGAGGTGTAAATAAATAAGAGGTGTGTTCGACTTGAAGTAGCGCTGCGCAGACCAATTCATGTATGACATCAAAGTACTGTGAGAGCTATTGTATAAAGAGCAGACGGCTGCTTATGCTTTCGAATTGCGGTACTTTGATGTCATACACCGACCAGTCTGCGCAGCTCTGCTTCAAATCAAACACACCTAACGTCTAGCTCCAAACTCAGTCCTGGAGGGCCGCTGTCCTGCAGAGTTTAGCTCCAACTTGCCTCAATGCACCTGCCTGGAAGTTTTTAGTATGCCTAGTAAGACTTTGATTAGCTGGTTCAGGAGTGCTTGATTAGGGTTGGAGCTAAACTCTGCAGGACACCGGCCCTCCAGTACCGAGTTTGGAGGACCCTGGTCTAGAATGTCGCTGTAAGTCGGACACCCAACCTGTGAACTTGGGCAGATCGGTGAACCCCGACCTCAACGAGACGCATCATTTGGAGTCACTGCTTCCAATGAGCATAATGTGGAGCTTATGTAAAACTTATTTTTTTGTCAACTGTTTTTAAAACAAATGGTAGCATTTTATGATAATTATTTTCTGTTTTTGCCATAATTGACACAAAAACACGATCCGCTCATGTTGCTTAGTTATGTGCATTCTGTCACCGTTTAAACTGCTCTGTCAGTCATCTTGTCACAGTTAACATCTTTCACATTTCATTTCATTTCCTACCACATTGTAGAGAAATGAAGAGGCACGTTGATCTGCCAGTCACGGGTCTATCATGCCAAGAATTCTCCTCATGTGTTTGAATAATGATGCTTTTAAAAGTTAATGACCAAACGTATCTTTAAAAAGTTCACAATGTTGTTGAAGATGAAATATAACGTGGATAACATTAAATATATATATATATATATATATACAGTGGGCACGGAAAGTATTCAGACCCCCTTCAATTTTTCACTCTTTGTTATATTGCAGCCATTTGCTAAAATCATTTAAGTTAATTTTTTTTCCTCATTAATGTACACACAGCACCCCATATTGACAGAAAAACACAGAATTGTTGACATTTTTGCAGATTTATTAAAATATATTTTTTTTTTTTTTTTTCTTCGTCACGTTAGATATTATTTATCACTATTTATCACCCCTTTCTCTCCCTGTCCGTTGATCTGGTATATCTTCCCTGTTTGTAGTTTAGTAATACTTTTTTTTATTCATGTTTGTAGTTCTAAATCCTCGTCCAACACGCAATGGAGTATGCACGGATCTGCACTTCGAATTTCTAACGAAAATAGTAAACCATCCAGGTACCTCTGGAATACTCATCTCAACATCCTTCAATTCGGGACATACTGATTCTAATTTTGAATACTATTTAGGATGGATAGTATGCGAATTGGGACGCAGCAAAAGATATGTATTGTCATAGATATGTATAGTAGATTAGAAGTAGATTCAACATTTGACTGCTCCAGGCATATTCCGATTCATAGATCCGCCATCTTGGAACGGTCAATGCGTCGCCTCTCACAATACAAAAAAAAAATTAATGAGTTTCATTGCACAGCCTCTGGTTGCAAAAAAACACCAACATTGAAATGCCTGAGGAAACTGGATACACTTTAACAGGTAAGAATGTGTTGGTTTGTGTTTTTAATATGTATTAACTCAATATTACAGGGTTTTACAGTACCTTTTAAGTGTCATGTTAGCTAACGGCTTTGTTCCGTTGTATTGTGCTAGTTTAGCAAAATCATCAGCTGAAGTGTATTGCAGATATAGATATTCATACATGCATATAACTAGGGTTGCAGACATACAGGAGTTCACAGACCTGCTTTGACCATTCCAATATGAATATCATAAAATATCATTTGCACTTATATATTGTTGCTCTTTTGTTAGTTTTGACTGCTTTTATTGTCCTCATTTGTAAGTCGCTTTGGATAAAAGCATCTGCTAAATGACTAAATGTAAACGTAATATGGCAGACGACTTATGTATAGCAGCCCATAGAAAGAGCTGCTAATATGGCATCTACCTATACATATCTATGGTTTAGAACGCAAGTTAATGCTGCAGTGAGAGTGTTTCTAATACAGCGTCTATGGGAGTGACAATACATTTGACATTGTTTTCTATTCTGACTGCTACAATCAATCTCTCTCTCTCTCTCTCTCTCTATATATATATATTCGCCTGTAATGCCTGATAAATCACCGTTTGTGAGCGCAGTGCTGCTTTGTGTACAGTGTTGGGGGAAACCGCTATTTTACCGCTCAGAAGCGGCACCTAGTGGCAAAGAATGAATTAGCATTTCCATTCACACCAACAAGTGGGCGGGCGATATGCTAATGTTTCATGTTGACGTCAACATGAAACGGCTTGGGATTCATTTTAAAAACGACTCGTTTCAATTATTCAGAGTCGACTCTTTCTTTTGAGAGACAATAACTTTATACACGGTGCACTTTCAGATTTAAAACTTTGCATGATGTTTTCATTTACTTACAGCTGTGTTACACACTGCATAAAAGGTAATTTTCAAAAATCCATAATAGGGGCACTTTAATGTAGTCTCCCATTCACCACTATAGAAGTTTACCCAAGTATTACATCTTCACACTGCTGAGAAACCCGGAAATGTGAAGAAGGTCCATAATAATACTTTTGAAAGTAGTATCTGGTAATGAGGATTATTATTATTTTTTTATTCTCTAGAATTCAGCACCCCAGACAATTACAAT